AGTAGAATTTAAATACCTATAAATGCATATATATTAAAATTCTACATGTATATGTAAGTAATCTTTTAACATAATTATGTGATTTGATTAATTAAAATTTGATTGACATGCCTGACAACACAGGGAGAATGTGCAGAGAATTTAATTCGCAAACACTATATTTGACCCAGTAACTCTCCAAGACACCATAAAACCTGTACATAGGGGGTACTGTTTTACTCAGGAGACTTCACTGAACTCAAATATTAGTGTTTCAAACTGGTAAATTGTATTACAACGATGATATTTTAAGTAGAAGTCACATTTTTTGAATTTTTTACAAACGAACTGCACTTTTATGGACTATATTATTGTTGTAATATGTTTTACTGTTTTAAAACACTAATATTTGTGTGTAGTGAAGTCTCACGAGAATAACAGTACCCCCATGTACAGGTTTTATGGTGTTTTGGAAAGTTAGAGAGTCACATATAAGGCTTGCATTTCATTTTTTTGACATTGAAATTTGCCAGATTGGTTATGTTACCTTTGAGAGCGTATGGTAGCCCAGGAATGAGAATTACCCCCATGATGGCATACCATTTGCAAAAGTAGACAACCCAAGGTATTGCAAGTGGGGTATGTCCAGTCTTTCTTAGTAGCCACTTAGTCACAAACACTGGCCAAATATTAGTTTTTTGCTTTTTTCACACAAAAACAAATATGAACGCTAACTTTGGCCAGTGTTTGTGACTACTAAAAAAAACTAAACATACCCCACTTTCAATACCTTGGTTTGTCTACCTTTTCAAATGGTATGCCATTATGGGGGTAATTCTCATTCCTGGGCTACCACACCGTCTCAAAGGTAACATTACTAATCTGGCAAATTTCAATTTGAAAATGGAACGTTCTATATCTGACCCTGTAACTTTCCAAAACACCATAAAACCTGTTAATGGGGGGTACTTTTGTACTTGTGAGACATTGCTATGAATAGTTAATGATAAATTAAAGCCCTGTTTCTCCTGAACAAAATGATATATAATAAGTGTGGGTGCACGTAATGTGACAGCGGTGAATTACAGTTGAACAGACCTATAGCGCAAATTCCAGTTCTTGTTTACGTTTTGTTTTGATCAGAACGTGTACTATTGACTCCGTCCTTAAGGGGTTAAGGGGTTAAAGTAGACAGACCAGAGTTTTTGTGTACATAAACACCTTTAAATCTAGCAGCTAAACTTAATAATTCCCTGTTTAACTGATACTACATTAATAATAGCTCTAAATTGGGAATCCCAAACAATTTTAGTTAGTTATTGATTTCATTAAATCAATTAATTTTCCAAATCCAGATTGAGAGAGCTACCTATAGCAGATATCTAAACTCTCACATTAATTCCAGCTATGGGACGAATGGCTAACCAAATTCGAACCAAGCCAAGAATAGACCTCAGACAAAAAGATGTGCTGTTATCAAAGTAATTTTTTAGATAAAAATAGAGATGTAGATTGCTCCCCTTAGACTAAAATGGCAATTCCTCATGAGGGTACTTACAACCCCCTCTCAAGCACTCCTCTCTTGATACCATGACAGTTCCTCTAATTATTCACCTATTTATTTTTAGAATTCATTTTATCCTTATCTTTTTCTTTGTTTTGTTTTTATTTATTTTTGTATTTTATTTTTTTGGTTTATTTTTCCCTATCACTTGATTCTGAAGGAATATAATAAATATTTTAAAATAAAATTGTACTGCTATGTCTAGTGGTTAAATGCAAATACTATATTTTGTATTATGAGAAAAAAATTAAATAAAGAACATTAAAACAACAACAACAACAAAAAGTTCCCCCTTGGTGCTGATGTCAGAGGAGGTGGGGACAGAGCCAGCCTCAAGGACTTTTGTGCTGGAATAAAATGAGTGAAAGAGAAGGGTTATTGCACTGGGATAACGTAAATGCTGTAGGGGGAATTTGGGAGGGGGGCAGAAGAACACTTTACTGTTGTAAATACAACTTTGTATTCCTGACACTATAGGTTTTCCTTAATTTTGATGATAAATATTAAAAAAGGAATACTCTTGAGTTAAAGATTGTAGCATATTGTTTGTATAGTTTTGGTTAAGTATTTTGTGTTAATGTTTACTATTATTTCATATTTATTATTGATGTAGAAATGATAGGTTAAATATATGTAAAAGTCTAACAAAAATGCATAAACACACAGCAACTGACAATAACATATTGGAAAGCACACTAATAACATGTTATCCAAACTAATCAAACAAGATTTAAAGAGGATTAGGAGACAGCATTAGCAAACAATAAATAACTATATTACA